TTTGTCCACCCCTGGGTAGTGGCATTCCTGGTGTTCTTATAGAGTTCTGTGCACAGTGGGTGGTGTAATGGAGTTCAGAGTCTCTTAAGTGATTTGGGGAGGAGCTGGGAAGGACTGTGGGATTGAAGACGGGGTTACTGCTTTAGCAGGGAACTGCATGACGCTGTCCTGTGGCTTGGGGATGAGCTGGCAGTGGGTGGTACACAAGGGGGCCTTGGGCGGGGGAGGCCAGGGTTCAACAGCAGCGGCCCAGGCAGGAGGGATTTATCAGGGAGGGACAGTACCTGAACACCAGACTCTGCAACCTCTGGAGTTGCTGCCAAGAAGAGAGGGCAAGTCTCCTGGGCCATGGAAGCAAGAAGGGCTGGTGCCCGAGGCTGGAAAGGAGCCTGCAGTGGTATCTGGTAGAGTAAGTCCCTTACATACGAACGAGTTCCGTTCCGAGAGCACGTTCTTCTTAAGTCTTAATTTGTTCATAAGTCCAACAAAGTTAGCCTAGGTACCCAACTAACACAATCGGCTATGTAGTACTGTACTGTAATAGGTTTATAATACTTTTCACACAAATAATACATAAAAAATAAAGACAACATTTTTAATCTTACAGTACAGTACCTTGAAAAGTACAGTAGTACAGTACAACAGCTGGCATACAGGGGCTGGCATCGAGGGAACAGGCAAGAAGAGTTACTGACTGGAGGAGGGAGAGGAGGTGGGAGATGGTAGAGCTGAAGGATCGCCAACAATAGGAGACGGAGGGCAAGCTGCAGTTTCACTCACGCCTGACGTTGATGGAATGCATGTTCGCATCTTTGAAAGTTCGCAACTTGAAGGTTCTTGTGTAGGGGACTAACTGTACAGGTTTGTTCCTGAAGACGATGGGGACCCAAACCCTGAGGACTGAGAGCCCTGCCCACAATTTCTGATAGACGCTATTGATTGGGAAGGGTTTTTTTGTTTGTGTGTATGATTTTTTTGGTGGAGGAAGAGCAGTAGTTAGTATACCTACATTTTTTTACATATTATACATATATGTTTATGTTATATATATTTAAGCTTGGGACATTACTGTTTAATCACTTTATACTCCATATTGCATGATTTAGACTTGCTTTAACAATTTGCCAAACACCATCAAACAAAATAGACAAGTTTTGACAGTATTGTAAAATTATTCTGAAGGTGTATCTTGTTCAGCAGAAAGGAAAAGAAAACTTATACCAGTGGTTTGAAACCTTTTGTAGCTATCTGATAATTTGTCACCAGAACAGAAGTACAAAAACACCCTCAGTCGTTTGTTATTTTTAATAAGCATTGAGCCCTAGATGAGGTGTCCCTGATTTTTTTATTGAAAGCCTTCCATCCAAAACAAGAGCAAGGGACTTCCCTGGTGGCCTAGCAGTTAAGACTCTGCGCTCCCAATGCAGGGGGCCTGGGTTCGATCCCTGGTCAGGGAACTAGATCCCACATACTGCAACTAAGAGTTTGCATGCCGCAACTAAAGTTCCCGCATGCCGCAACAAAAATCCCACATGCTGCAACTAAGACCTGGAGCAGCCAAATAAATAAATATTAAAAAAAAAAAAGGACTTCCCTGGTGGCGGAGTGGTTGAGAATTCGCCTGCCAATGCAGGGGACACAGGTTCGAGCCCTGGTCCGGGAAGATCCCACATGCCGCGGAGCAACTAAGCCCATGCGCCACAACTACTGAGCCTGTGCTCTAGAGCCCAGGAGAGCCACAACTGCTCTAGCCACATGCCTAGAGCCCTTGCTCCGCAACAAGAGAAGCCACTGCGATGAGAAGGCCGCACACCGCAACAAAGAGTATCCCCACTCACCACAACTAAAGAAAGCCCGTGTGCAGCAACAAAGACCCAACGCAGCCAAAAAAATTAATTAATTAATTTTAAAAAAAACAACAACAACCAAGAGCGAGACATCCTAATCTTGGTATATGTATAATATGGTATTAACTGAAACTTTGACTTAATATGTGCAGAGAATTAGTGCAGTCATCAGTGAGAGTGTGGAGGGTGCCTGGTGGGGATTTGGCCCCACATCTAATCACCCCAGGCTCCCTAACCCCTCCTCCCCCTGCTCCCAACAAGAGTAAAAATAAAAAGAAATTGATTTGGGAAAAACCACACACTACAGTGTGCTTACAACTCAAATGCAACTTCAAGAAAAGCCCCTGGCCCTCCCCTTTGCCACTCTCCCCTCTCCCCCAGCTCACTGATGCTCCTCACTGGTCGCTCTTCCTCCCCGCCCCCCCGTTTTTTGGCTGTGCCCCATGGCATGTGGGATCTTAGTTCCCTGACCAGGGATTGAACATGCACCCCCTGCATTGGGAACGTGGAGTCTTATTCACTGCACCACCAGAGAATTCCCAAGCTTTTTAAAAATTTTTTTAAAATTTTATTATTTATTTTTGGCCGCATTGGGTCTTTGTTGCTGTGCGCGGGCTTTTTCTAGTCGCGGCGAACAGGGGCTACTCTTCATTGTGGTGTTCAGGTTTCTCTCTCACTGCGGTGGCTTCTCTTGTTGAGGAGCACGGGCTCTAGGCACGAGGGCTTCAGTAGTTGTGGCACACAGGCTCAGTAGTTGTGGCTCGCGGGCTTAGTTGCTCCGCGGGATGTGGGATCTTCCCGGACCAGGGCTCGAACCTGTGTCCCCTGCATTGGCAGGCAGATTCTTAACCACTGTGCCACCAGGGAAGCCCCTGCTTTGTTTATTTTCTCAAAGTAGAAAGTGAATGGTCATAAACCCTATTCCCCAGAAATAACAGTTTTCTATATCTTAATATATATAAGAGGTGGCACAGAGGATGAGGGCATTGCTTCCAGCATGGGTCAACCCAGCCTATCCTATTCCCCAGAAATAACAATTTTCTATATCTTAATATATATAAGAGGTGCACAGCAGATGAGGGCATTGCTTCCAGCATGGGTCAACCTGGGCTGTGCCTCGTGCTGCAGTGTGGGCTCCAGCAAGTTTCCTTACCTCCCTCTGCTTCTGTTTCCTCATCCAAGAGTCAGAGATATTAATATGTGCTTCATAGAGCTACTTTGAGAATTACATGAGTTAATATTTGTCAAGCATTTAAAACAGTGCCTGTGCATGTTGTAAATATTTATTAAATAAACATATGTCCAGACTCTTCTGAGTAGACAGAAGCATTTACACACATTTGTTTCTTTTGTTTTTTGTTTTCACAAAAACAGGATCTTATTCTGCATATTATTCTGAAACTTAAGCTTTTTTACTTCGCACCGTGGGTTGGGCATCTTACCCCATCAGTATTTAAAGAGCTGCTCCTATTTTTATTGATTGTGTAACGTTTCATTATGCGGATGCACCATAACAGGTTTCACAGGTCCTCCATCAACAGACATGCAGTTGGTGTCTAGTTTTTGCCAGTACACACAGGGCTGCCAGGAACCTCGTGACCTTGTCCTTGCCCTTGTGTATTCCTGGAAGTAAAATCACTGTGGCAAAGGGTATGCACAGTTGACTGTTTTGGAGACACACTTCCAGTTTACCCTCCAGAGATGGCTTTCTAGTTTGTGTTCCTACTGGGAGTGTAAGGTGCCACCTGTGAAGTACTGTGCTGACAACCCTTTACTGCTCAGAAAACCTTTGATGGTACCTTGTAGGGCTTACATGTTGAAGTTCTTAGTTTGGCCTTCAAAGCCCCCCGTAATGTGACCCCATCTATCTTTGCATCCTAACTACTGTTACTCTTATAAACCCTTTGCTTCAGTCAGGTCAGCGGTTTTTAACCAGGGTAATTATGCCCACAGGGGATGTGTGACAATGTCAAGATATTGTGGTTGCCACAACGGGAGAGAGTGCTATCAGCATCCACAGGGTAGAGGCCAGGGGTGTTGCTCCACATCCTACAGTCGACAGCCTCCCACAACAAAGAGTTAAATGGTCCAGACGTCAATAGTGCTGTGGTGCAAAAACCCCAGTTGAGCTGTTGAGTGATCTTTAAAATTGCCTGGTATTTACCTGCCTCAAGTGCAGGGATGGACAACAGATTTCATCTAGTGTGACACCTTCATTATATCCATATATGGGTAAAGAGCTCTCTTGAGAATTCTGAAGCCACGCCTGGGCCCACTGGGGGAAAATGTTATGTCTGCTAAATCATAAAGTCATGAGGGCAGGATGGTATCTCCTCCTGTTTTTGTATTTTCCAAGATATCTCATGCATAGGTTTGTATACATAGTTGTTGGACAAATATCTTAATGTTTCCTGAGTTACTGTCATCCTAAGAGGGATAGAGGACAGCTCCTCTTCTAACCTGCGCTCTCACTTGCCATTTGTCTTTAAGCGAAACATTTACATATTCTGGTATTTATTTCATGTCTTAAAGAGCTTTGATACCCTAATAGGAGGTGAGGGGTTGATATTTACTGCATCGTCTTGAAAATGATTGTTGAATGAATGTAATTGTATATAGAGCTTTTCCATTTGAGATGACTGAATAATCAAGAAGGCAGGGACGGTCATCAGGCATTGACTGCATAGCACCCTGTCAGTGGTACTTACATTTGTCCTTATGGGAGGGAAATCATTTAAGTGAATTTTCAAATCTGGGTGAACCTTTTCTTCAGTGTTTGGGAGTACAGGTAGCTTGTCAGGGGTTGGCCAACCTTTTCTGTAAAGGGCCAGATTGTAAATATTTTAGGCTTTGCAGGTCATATGGTCTCTGTCACTGTTTCAGCCCTGCTCTTGTAGCTTGAAAGCAGCCATAGGCAAGACTTAAATGAATGGGCATGGCTGTGTTCCAGTAAGAGTTTATGTACACAAACAGGTGGTGGCCATAGTTTACTTATCCCTCGCAAACCATCAATGTTTGGATATTTGACTGATGAACCCCCATTGCAACTGAATGGTTTTGAAAATGAAATAACTGGGCATAGTGACTACCCCTTTGTAATGATTGCACTGGGAAAGGCAGTGATGTACGACCTTTCTTTGCTTTCCCTTGTAGAGATGTGGTATGGTGTGTTCCTGTGGGCACTGGTGTCCTCTCTCTTCTTTCATGTCCCTGCTGGATTACTGGCCCTCTTCACCCTCAGACATCACAAATATGGTAGGTTCATGTCTGTAAGCATCCTGTTGATGGGCATCGTGGGACCAATTACTGCTGGAATCTTGACAAGTATGTTAGACATTAAAATACAGTCAAAATGTTTCATTTGACTAGTTAGTTAATTTTAGGAACCATTTTAGAAACATGTCTCAATGAGATGAAGAAGAAAGAGTGATCTTTAACCACAGATCCTGTTTTTTTTCTCACCCCAGTCCCCCCTTATTTGGCTAACATCTTTGACTTACTGAGTCAGATTTTGTCTCGCTGGCTTCAGGGAAGTCATGTTAAGCTTTGTGAGATAGATCTTGTGAAATAGGTCACTAGCAAAAGAAGATATTTGTCTTTTTGGAAGCTACTGCTCCTTTCTCTTCAGCTGTCACTTCACTGATTTGTGACCTTGCAAGCTGGTTAACAAATCACTTCCACTCATCCAGGTGTAGTTATTTTAAGGATGGAAGAATAATTCTAATGACAAGAATTATTGTTTAGAAAAGTACCTGGTGGTTTTCTCCTCTCAGGACTTTCTGAATAAGAATTGGAGTAACATTCATAATTATAAATTATTTTTACCTGTCTGGTGTTTTTTTGGGGGGAAGGGTGGCTTTTGCTCATGTCAAAGGGATGAGAATAAGTTTAAATCATTTTTAAGCTCATAATGAAATATAAATAACATGTATATTCTATATAAATTAAAAATTATAAGAAAGCAAAATTAAAAATCCTCTATTACTGCATTCCTAAGTGGTATCACAGTTTGCATTTTGGTATATGCTTTCAGACTTTTTTCTAGGTATACATGTAAACATAACTTTGTTTCACTGTGAATTTAAACCTTGAGCTTCAAGCAGAAATCTCCCTCTCTCTTTGACTTGAGGGATTTTTTTGGGGACAGGGTGGCCTAGTTTCTCTGTGTTCCACAGATGATGAAACCTTTGTGATAACACGGGGGAGGAGGCCAGTTTTCTCCTGTTTGCATTAAGGAGTTTCCATAACGGGCCTTAAAAAATATTTTTAACTGTATCACCTACTGCTATCTTTAGAGACCCTCTGCTCCAGTTTCCTTGCTGGATTACTGGCCCCCAGGACCTGTTTCAGATTTCTCTTCAGTAAAATAGGGATGCTGTGTGATGACTAAATGAAAAAATGTGAATATAAAATACTTAACCAGAATATCTACCATATAGTAATTGTGCAGTAAATGTGTTCATGTCCTTCTTCGACTCTAGTGCATACAATCTGTTCCCTTCCCATTCTGCTGCTCCTTCTGGTTTGCTTTTTCCTGTCTTCCCTTAATCATCCAAATCCCACTTTGGGACCCAGTTCAACTTCTTTAAGCTTCTTCCGACTCAACCCACTTTTTTTGGAGACAAATTACAAAGAGGCCCAATGGAACATGTGCCTTTCAGATGTTAGTAGCACAGTGTTTGTGCATTGCCTCTGGCGGTGGGCATTTCAAAGTCACAAATGTTCCTGGCAACCAACACAGATATTGATTAGTATTGTTCTTTCTTCTCCTTAAAATATGTCAATATACCATCACATCACATTTGTAAAAGGTGTAGACACTTGATTGAAACACTATATTTCATCTTGCATTATTCAAAACCTACTTCATGTTTGTGTTTCTGTCTTGTGTCTCCAGCTAGCCTCTGTGACCAAGGAGAATTCTGTTTGGAGCATTTTGAGGTGGGGCGGGGGGCGGCAGGGCGGTCATCTGAGATGTTTGGATCTGTTATTTTCAAACTATTGAAATCTTGACTTTCTTTGTACAATGCTGAGTCCCTGTGAGCAAATCAGGGTACCTGGGTAGAGAGAGATGTTTGTTTTGTTTTGTTTACTCAATTTCTAGGAAGTTACAGTGACTAACATAATAAAAAAGATTAATGATTTGGGTAACAGAAAGGACTCCCCAAGTATCCCTCGCCTCTTGCCCTTTGAATGAATAGCAACTTGATAGGCTTAGGGTCCCCCTCTTTTCCTTTTCCCACCCCTTTCTCCATCCATTTCTTGAGGGGAGCTCTGAGTATAGTACACAATAGAGTGGGGTTTCCCTGTGGCTGCTCCTGAAATATTTCTTGCTCAGTCCCACAGGGAAGATTCTTTGTCATTTATTGCCAAGAGTTTGTTAGGTACCTGTTAAATGCATGCGGAATAAGAGATGTTTTTCAGTTTGTAATCAGGTTATGTGGAAATCACCGTCTTTGTGATTTCGGCTATGACTTCCAGGTGGTTTTATTCAATAAATCTAGGAGACTCAGTTTAAAGGAGTCACTTTTCAACACCTAAAAACACTTGTCAGTGATTTGCAAACCATATAAGGAATACTTAAAACCTAGTCAGCAAAAAGAATAGACAGAACAAAACATTTCTGTAATGTCTAAATTTTAATGTAAAAAATTTAGAACATTCTACTGGTAGAATTTTAAGTGCTGTATTTTCCTGATTATATTAACCTTTTTTTAAAAAATATTCTTGAATTTTTGAACAGGTGCAGCAATTGCTGGAGTGTACCGAGCAGCAGGAAAGGAAATGATTCCATTTGAAGCCCTCACCTTGGGCACCGGACAGACATTTTGTGTAGTGGTGGTCTCCTTTTTACGGATTTTAGCTACTCTGTAGCACATACCCTTGTGCTATGATGGTGAACCTAAGTTTCATAGAATCCTCAAAAAGAATACAGTATGGAATGTGTTTTCTTAGTTCTTCAAACGGGAAGCAACTTGGATGAAAAGGTATATGAAGAACAACATTTCAGTCCTTTCTTCAATTTGAAGCTCCAGGAATTAAAGATCTTTTTGGACTCATTGTTCTCAACCAAAACAAATCAACTTTCTTTTCTTTCTTTCTTTTTTCTACATATTTAATTCAGGCAGTTTTACGGGTGTACCTTTACGCAAGCCAGGTCAGCAGTGCTTCTGGGTTGGCATCCTTCATACTGAAATTTATAATGTTCTGTGAGAAAATGCAACGTTGCATATTTCAGAGAAATTATGGATCATATTAGTTTATTTCTGAGCAGAGTATACTGTACTAAAATCTAACGATCTAATCTTGAGTAAAATTTGGCAAACTCATCTCTTGCTACATCTTCATGACAGTAAGTGCCAAGTAGGTGTTGGTTGAATGTCGTGTTGAGAACAAATTTGGTGAAATCTGTTGCACACAAAAAAATCTATAACTCAAGTAGTGGCTTCGATTCCTTTGTTTAAAGAAAAAGGAGCTAACTACTGAATGATGTGACATTTTTATGGATAACTATCTTGACTTCTGATTATTTAATATATTTTAAGAGATGTGAATTTGTTTTTTGGTACATTTTATCAAAATAAGCTAGGTAATTGAGACTTTTTCCCCTAAAGCTCCTGTACCACCTCTTCCTATTACTTTTTTTTTTTTTTTTTTTTTTTCCTATTACTTTTATTCTATTGTTTTTATTTAGTTTAATTGGAAACATACCCTATTAAACAGTTGGGAGTTGAAAATTTTCACCCAGATTGTTTAGGACACTCTTTGAACATTGAGGCACACGCACAAAAAGATACTTTAAACGTTCTGTTACTGTTTTTCTTAGTGACTTTGCTTTACTTATGGCTTTTGAAAAATTGTATAAGTGCAGCTTAAACTAGAGTTAGTGGTTATAGATTTCCTAGTCTTAATGTAGTTACCTAATGGTGGGTCTTCAGCTCACTTTCACAGTATTGGGTATCACTCCCAGAAAGTGCCTAAAGTTTAATTTTCAGATATGCCTTCCACTGTGCCCTTTACATTTTCCTTCAAGAGAATTTATATCCTTAAAGAGAATTAAATATCAGAGTTTTTTAAAACCCAATTTTAGCTATTTTAATTTTTCTTCTAATGCCTAACTTACTTTTTCATTTAAAGGCCTGAAAACTGTAACCTTCAAAAGAAAAAGGATTGCAAAAATTATCTAACTTTATCCTTACCACCTAAACTGTTCTGTATGAAATACAATCGATGTTATCTGTTTTCAAAATAGTTTCTGGTAATTAAATCTGACATTTTTAAAGGAAAGTTTTCATTGTGAGTGTAAGGCTAACTGCCCATGAGGTCGTGTGCAATTCTATTTGATTTAAAGCAATATGCACTCTGGCTTCTGATTAAAAACAGCCAGGAGGACCAATTTACCAGGGATAGTCAAAGGGAAAAATTACAAAGGATCACAAAAAGTAACTGGACATTTTCTTTTAACTAATCGGCCATTAGACCACTTATCAAAATTATAGTGTTATATACACAGACTAGGTGGAAAATTACAGGAGTTGGAATGTAGGCAAATGTCTTTACAAATTCCCCAACAAGATTACTCTCCAATGCTCAAATCTTTCTTTCAAGCAAATTTTTAAGTCTTTAGTTGAAGACTCCATTTTTCAGTTCAGTGAGCTGGATTTGGAAAAGTAGCCCTTCAGTTTAAGAAATTTGTTGTAGGAAATGATTTTAATTATCTCTATTGAAGGATGCCTCTTAGCATTCTCACCTAAAACATTCCTTTGGATAGAATTTCACAAATTGAACACGGGCCAGTGGTCAGTGGGCTCCTCCCCCTAAATGCTAATTTTTGAACATACTGATCCATGATTTATTTGGTTTATTTTTCTTTTAGAGCCAAGACACAAAAATTAATGCATTTTGAAAGTTGTGTTTGTTTTCATCTGTTTCTTGTTTTATTATCCACTCTTTTTAAAAACTTCAAATATAAAATGTATCTTCAAATTATTGAATGTTTCATTCATCCCAGTATGTGAACATTCTCCTGTGAATAAGTGTATATAGACTTTATATAGCTTGAGCTTTGTGGCTTGAAATGTTTTCAGGGAGAAACTATTTGAATGATAAGGAATGTCTATTCCTCCTTAGAGTTTATTTTTCTTTTTAATTTCTCATCTCAAATACACAATTAGTTGGGGGTGGTTGCCCAGATGAAAAAATATTGGCATTTGTGTTGAACATTTTATCTTATCACATATAGCTTCTGAGAAGTTTTGCCAACTACTGACTTTCCTAGAGACATGTGCAAACACCCCTCCCTTAACTGTGCATCCACTTTTCCTTTTTTTTATGAGTGGGAAGGAGGCAGCCCCAACCATAAAAAGCTGATTTCTGGATTCTTTAATATTGAGGTTTTAGGGTAAAGGTGTTTCATGTAAACTTAAATCCATATACAAATGAGTAATGAATATTCCAAGATAAAGATGTCTCTTTGTGCTAACTCATTTTTTTTTTCAGCAAAACATTACCTAGGAAATGTCTAAACTAGGTGAGAAAAAGCTCATGCAAATAATTATCTTTAAGCCCTTATGTTTTCTAAGTCTTTAAATTGTATGTTAGCTTTTGATTCCAAAAGCTGCTCTGGTTTGAATTAAGTTCTTATTACAACTGCAGTGCATACCAACCTTCCCTAGGAGACCATTTCCTGGAATGTGAAGTCCTGGTGCCATTAGCTGTCCACATGCAGAAGGTTCTGTGTACGTGCATTTCTTTTTTGTGCACTCTGTCAGGCTGGTTGTGGCTAAAATCAGCTCAGCTTTTTGTATTAGATTATTTCACCAAATGCTACAGTCAAAATGATCTAATCTTTGTACCATAGAAAATTATTTAAATTTTATTTTTCTACTGACATTTCTAATTCTGGTATATATGTTTATCAATAAAGAGTTACTTTTAATTCTGTGAACTAGAACTGTTATTTCTTTTTCAGTGGCCAATGAGTTTAATCTTTTGTAATAAGGTTTTCCAACTTGATTTTTTTTTTAGTACTTAACATATATGCTTAACTGTATTTCTTTTATGTTCAACTCACTAGTTTATGGTAAAATTTTTGTCCAAAGATCTGATTAAACTGTACTTACATGTGAACTTGAGTCTTATTAACTCCACTTTGTGAGCCATATATTACCATCAAGAAGCTTTTGTATGATTACACACTGGGATGGCTGAAAGCTGATATAGTTTATGAAAAACATGTATTATTTCGGTAGTAAGTCCACATGAAGAGAGGCTCCGAGGTTGGTTTAGTATTCTGTGACATCATAAATCTTTTTTTGCTTTGCCATTTTCAGTAAATTGGATTGTCTGATTTGGGTAGCTTACTCCCTGTTCACAAGATAACTGCTGCAGTTCCAGGCATTGCAGACAGACATACAATGTCTGGTAGGAAACTACCCATCCATTCTCTTTCTAATTTTTTTTTAAATTGAGGTGTAACGTACAGTAAAGTGCACAAATCTTAAATGTATAGCTTGATGAATTTTATGTATTTATACACTTAATGCGAAGTGGTAGCACTTCGATCAAGATACAGAATGTTTCTAGCACCCCTGAAGGATACATGCAGAGTTCAGCCAGAAGCCCCCAAGATACGTATCCAGAACCAAACAGAGGAGGATCTTTTCTAAAAAGGTGATAACCCAAGACAGTGGAAAGAGACTATGGTGGATGAGGGGCTAAAGATGTTGAGTTTGGCAGGAAGGACCCCATAAATTATTACCAAGACAACACGGTAATAGTGAACCAGGAAACTTGTAGGGAGTTGGGATTTGTACTGTGGCCAGCCGGAGATATTTGTCTAAAGGAATTGCTCAGTTCCAGCCTATTGATATTTTGTGGGATTATGTGCCCAGTGTTGCCAGATTCTCCAGTTTTTCAAAGGAAATTGGAAATTAGATTATTTGAAATCTCTTAATTTTTAAGTGCTGGTATATTGGGAGTTCCCCAAACCAACAAACAATTCTTGGACACCAGCAGTGTGTCCAACAATTCAACTCAATTCTGACACTACCCAGAGATAGCATCAGATTCTACAGGTTAAGGGCTCAATCCTACAAGACCGACTCCCACTGCACCCCCTGATTCGAGATGCCAGTTGCAAGTCCAGGCTGTTACCTGTGCTTCTCACCGACTGGCTATAAATTGGGTTCAATTAATTTGTTAAAGTGGCTTACAGAACTCAAACATTTTACATACTAGATCACTGGTTTATCATGAAGATGTAACTCAGGAACAGCCGGCTGGAAGAGATGCACAGGGCAAGGTACGAGGAAGGTGAGTGGAGCTTCCATGCCCTCTCCAAGGGTGCCACTCTCCCCGAATTTCCACGTGTTCACTAACTGGGAAGCTCTCAACCCTGTCCTTTTGGGGTTTTATGGAGACTTCATCACATATGCATGATTCGTTAAATCACTGGCCATTGGGAACTGATTCAACTTGTTGCCCCTCCCCCCTCTCCCCAGAGGTGGGGCAGGGGAGGGCTGTGTGGGGATGTGGGGACTGAAAGTTCCAATCCTCTAATCACACGGTAAGTTGTCCTGGCAACCAGCCCCATCCTTAGGTGCTTCTAAAAGTCATTCATACAACACAAGACACCTTTACCACTCTCAACACTTAGGAAATTCCAGGGGTTTTGGGAGCTGTGAGCCAGGAACTGTGGATGAAGGCCAAATATATATGAGAAACACATTTTGGTCATCTGAATGACCAAAATGTATATGAAATGTATATTTCTGCGAAATCATAATATCACAGATGGCTGCTAATTTAACTTCATGTAAAATGCTTTTCAGATCGAACAATGCATGTCTTTATGCTGGATTTGGCCTGCTAACCAATTTTTTGACCTCTTTGCTAAACTATTTGACACAACAGAAAATAGTTCCCTGGTTACCCATAAAGTGGTCAGAAACTTTGTAAATTTGAACAAATGTATGGAGTGCTAGTAATCTATAAAGAGGAGAGTGGGAGAAGTAGGGTAATGGAGGAGAAAGTCTGCTGAAGAACTCTGGGGTATCCTTTTCCCCAGACTCAGACCCCAGGGATGGGGCAAAAGGCGACATCCCAGTTTGTCACTGTAGGGTTTATTTATGCTGTCCAAGGAAAACGAGGCTGAGAATGGTGAAGTCCCAAATACTGGGTCCTAATTTCACATCTATTTTTCTGTTATTCTCACATAAGAAAGATTTACTGAAATGGGTCATAGACCTAAATGTAAGAACTAAAACTATAAAACTCTTAGAAGAACACAGGAGTAAATTTTGTGATCTTGGGTTAGGCAAAGCCTTCTTAGATACAACCCCCAAAGCAAGAGGGACATTAGACTAAAACTAGATAAACTGGACTTCATCAAAATTAAAAATTTTTATGCTTCAAATGATGCCATCAAGAAGTGAAAAGACACCCACAGGAGGAAATATTTTCAAATCATACACTTTATAAGAGACTTGCGTTTATAATATATAAAGAACTCTCTCTTACAACTCAATAATAGAAAGACAACCCAATTTAAAAATGGGCAGAGGGGGACTTCCTTGGTGATCCAGTGGCTAAGATTCTGCACTTCCAATGCAGTGGGCGCGGGTTCAATCCCTGGTCGGGGAGCTAAGATCCCACATGCCTTGCAGCCAAAAAACCAAAACATAAAACAGAAGCAATATTGTAACAAAGTCAATAAAGACTTTAAAAATGGTCCACATCAAAAAAGTCTTTAAAAAAATGGGCAAAGGATTTGAGTAGACATTTTTCCAAAACAACATATACCATGACCAATAAAGACATGAATAGATGCTTAACATCATTAGTCATCAGGGACGTGCAAATCAAAACTATAATGAAATGTCATTTCACACCCACTAGTATGGTTATAATAAAAAAGATAGAGTGTTGGCAAGGGTGTGGGGAAATTGGAGACTTCAGAAATTGCTGGTGAGGGTATAAAATGGTTGCTTGGGGAAACAGTTTGACAGTTTCTTGAAAGGTAAAGCACAGAGTTACTATGTGGTCCAGCAGTTCCACAGGTATATACCTAAGACGAATGAACTTTGGAAATGTGCTAAGTGAAAGAAGACAGTCACAAAAGACCACATCTTGTATAATTCCATTTATATGAAATGTCTGGAATAAGAAAATATAGAGAGACAGAAAGATTAGCCTAAAGCTGGGGATTGGGGAGAAATGGGGAGTGACTGCTAATTGGTCAGAGGTTCCTTCTTGGGGTGATGAAAATCTTCCAAAATTGACTGTGGTGATGGTTGCGCACGTCTGTGAATATACAAAAATGATTGAACTATGCACTTTAAATGAGTAAATTTTGTGGTGTGGGAACTATGTTGCAATCAGGCTGTTTTAAAAAGCTTGCTGGCATAAAGCCACCATAATGTCCTTTTAATCACAGACATGTTTCATCTATTCCTTGATTTAGATAACACTAGACTGGGTGACACAGACCCTAGTCCAGAGTATCAACAGGGAGCAATTATCAGCTGAAAAAACCCAAACCTGAACAAATAGGATGTTAGTCAATGATATCTCATTTGCATCTGATTACTGCCTCTCAGAGTTGGATTATAATTAAAATTTTTTAATCTGACCAAATGACAAAGATTATATATGGTTGTATTTCCATATGGATTAACTTGACTTGAAGGAAGGACTGGTGTGGATGATGTCTGAATTCTAGAATAGAGCTGATCCTTGTCGTTCGCGGTACTTATAACTGTAAGGTCACCGTACACACTCAATTAGCAGAAATACAGGGCTGAGTTCCTGTGGGTCTCTGGTTGTACCATTTTCGTCAACTGATCAGTACATAACCTTGCTTTATGTGTGTTTCTGTTCAAAGACACTGAATTTAATATCTCTTTCTTACAAATAATGATACGCAGTGTTTATAATGAAACAATTATTTCAATGACAGCATGTTTGTGTAATGTACAAAACAGATTGTACTACTTTAACTTTCCCCCTCAGTCATACACACACACAGACACACACTACACATATAGTACTCATGTACAGTAAATGCATACAGTACTATAAACACATACTATATAGTGTGCAGTAATGCAAATAAAGTCCTGAAAAAATGAAAGATGAAGCGTTTAAAGTTTTATAAAAACGTTAACTAAAATCTTACTGTTGATAGAGCTGCAGGCTGCGTGATGGCACAGTGCACAGTGTGGTTAAACCTCTCGACCTTGGCTTGCCCCACAAAAAGCAAGGGAGAGGTTGGTGGAACTCATTCTGCAGAAGAGGAAGAGGGTGGCAGGTTGACATCCATCAGTTCAACCTCAGAGGTTTGGCTCTCACCACTTGTTGATGGAGTCGGCAATTTTCCCTCCCAAACTGGCTCCAAAAATTGGGTCAACCCCGTCTGCCTGGCTTTTTGCCTCAAATCTTTAAGCATCTCGGCATAGGGGGCAAATGCACAGGAGGCTAAGCGCTTAAATTTGAGGCTGCGATCAAGCATAGGGTCACACTCTTCCATGTCACTGAAAATTGTTTCCAAGGCAGAGTTCCATTCTGATATTTTGGCCGCTGTAAGAGGGACAATTCCTGGACTCTTAGGCTGACTTTCATCACCATCTTCATCATCACTGACTCCAACGCCTTGTTTTGCCATCTCGTCCAGGTCTTCGTTGGTGGGTTCTACTGCCTTCTCTGCCAAAATTTCCTCCACATCTTCTTCTCTCATGTCATCAAAGCCTTCTCCACTTATTTGCCATGCGATATGCATTATGTTTTCGACACTGTTCTTTATACTTTCTGTAACACCTTCAAAGCCTTCAAAAGTTTCTACGCAGTCTGGCCAAACATTTTTCCAACAATTATTGATAGTAGCCTGCTTGATGTTGTCCCATGCTGTGCCAACATAATCAATAACGTTGCGTATAGTGACTGACTTCCAATAGTCCATCATGGTAGTTTCCTTGTTGGCTTTGAGAGCCTCAAAAGCCTTGCTATAAAGCTCCCTAGTATAGTGCGCCTTGAAGGCTTTTATTATGCCCTGATCCAGGGGTTGGATGAGAGACGTAGTATTTGGGGGCATGAAAAGAACTTCTACGTTGGGGTGGGCATTTTTGAGTTCTTCACAGCAATGGACTGGGGCATTATCCAAAATTAACAAAATCTTGAAGGCAAGGTTTCTGCCCTGGAGATAGTATTCAACTTCTGGTATGAAGCAGCTGTGGAACCAATCAGAAGTCATCCATGCTTTTTTGTTCCACCTCCAATGGACCGGCATATGATTCACGCTTTTCCCTTTAAGTGCTTGTGAACTTGGAGCTCTGTACACCATTAGGGGTTTGCACTTAAAGTCGCCCTTGGCATTGGCGCACAAAAGCAGGGTTGCATAATCCTGGAATGATTTAAAGCTAGGGGCTTTGGAGGCCATTTGCGTTATATAGGTTCTTTTGCCAACGTCTTTGTAAAATAGGCCAGTCTCATCAGCGTTGAAAACCTGCTCTTCCACGTACCCCTTTTCCTGAATAACACTTAGCAGGTATTTTTTAAATTCTTCCGCAGCCTCCTGATCTGCAGAACTTGCCTCACCTGCAAGCTTAACATTACTCACACCATATCGCCTTTTGAAACGTGCAAGCCAGCCAGCGCTAGCCGAGAAGGGTTTCACGTTTTTCTGACCCTGGGTAACGTGACCGTAAATTTCTTTGGCTTTCAGCCTCACAACAATGCTGTCCACCACACCTTTTTTATCGGTTGTCATCTCATGAATCCACAAATTGAGCCGCTTTTCCATCTTTTCCATAGCTTCCTCACGCACTATAGATGTCACTTTAGCACTTTCCGGAGCAGCCTCACGTACAGATCGGCGAATTTCCTTTTCCTTTTTCTTGATGTACCGGATTGTTGACTCATTAACGTTGAACTCACGGCCAACAGCACTACAACTCATGCCTGAACGAAGCTTATCTAACACACGTATTTTCTCCATAAGGCACATCACAGCCTTCTTGCGCTTAGGAACACTAGGCAGCACCGCAGCACTACGCTCTGGGGTCATTTTAAACAGCGAAATCACCAACAAAAAGCACCAAAAATGCAAAAAAAACGCGGCACTAAACAGATTGCGAAGAGGACACTTATTTAGAGTACGAGAGCCGAAGCACGATAGCGGATCATCTGCCTCCAACGTCGGTACAAGTCACCACTGGTTGACTCAAAACTTTCACTCTCTGCGCATGTCCGCGAATAACCCCAGAAAGCATCGCGAATATTGATTTCTGGGGTGACAGTAAATTTTAACAAGTAAGCGAATACAAAAATACCAACCGGTGAATAACGAAGGTCACCTGTATTCCCGTGGACAAAACAAATTTCGTTTAAGCATATTTACTAAATCAAAGCTTCTGGTAGCACTGGGGACTACAAGTTCCAGCATGCACCGCTTCAGCACGGAGCCCGTGTTCCGCCAACTGCCACAGCAGCGTCAAGCCCGGGGCTTTGGCCCGGAAGTGTCGCATTTGGATCACGTAGCACTCTTTGCGCCTGTGCACAAGCTGCGGGGGCCGCCCGAGCTACCGCCGCCCCTGCAGCAGCTCTATCTATGGTCTCTCCCTAGAGCTTTGCCGTTGGGGGTAGCTGCTGCGGCTGTGTTCGCCCCGCGCGGCAGCGACATGGAGGAATTCGACTCCGAAGACTTCTCCACCTCGGAGGAGGACGAAGACTACGTGCCATCTGGTGAGCGATTCCACCTGAGGCGAGGGGCGGTTTGCCCCGCCCCGCGCCTCACGTGAGGCGCGCTTTGCCCGGCGTTCGTGGGCCCGGTGGCTCAGTGGCCGCGTGGCGCGGGTCTCAAGCGTCCCCGCCCCGCGCCCTCGCCCGCCTGCTTGCACCGTGCGGGCCCCGTGGCCCAGGAAGTGTGCACGGGGACGTCTCGCGCAGCTGCTTCTCACGGCCTGGCTTCGGCGGCCACCGCCGCCTCTCGGAGCGCGGGAACCGGCACGTGAACTCCGCTCTGCCTCTGGTGAAGCTGGCGGTGGTCGGTCATCGCGTACCCTTACCAGCCCTGAAATCTTCTGAAAGGCAGTCTTATCGCCAGGCCTTCCGTCCCCAGAGAATTGCTAGCTAGCATCACGTTCCAGATAGGTCTCTTCACTTGCTGTTCTCAAAAGGGATCTGGTTGTTAAAAAGTTCACATAATGATGCCCTTTGCCTCTTTGCAACGTCTATACCCATTGCTCTCGGATCAGATTTTGGATTTTTTGTTTTTGTATAGGCTTCTAAAACCGAACCGGGTCAAAGTAAATGTCACCCAAACCTACCCCTTCCGCCCTCCTGCACCTTCCGCAGGCTTCCCCATCTCATTAGAAGTATCTGTCCGTACAGTAGCTCAGGTTAAAAACAAAACAAAACCTTGGGAGTTGTCCTTATTCTCACTGTTTTGGTCTAACCAATCATTAAGTTCTGTTTGCGTCTGCGTAGAAGGTTAATTTCTGATCAGTTCCTCACCAATCTCGCTCTTACTGAACTACCATTAACACTAAGACTCGCCATAGCTTCCCAGTTGGTTTCCTGGGTTCCATTCTTGTCCACCAACGTTGGTCTTCGGTATCGGCCAGTGTGATCATTTGAAAACTAGTTTTCATTTTAATCAGAGTTATGCATGCGCCTGTTTCAAAATAGTCAAATATTTTTGGAAGGCTTATTTTTGAAACAACCGTTTCCATCACCCCTCATACCTGTCAATCCTCCCCAGAAGAAACTGCTTTCTTTTTTTTTTTTTTAATTTATTTATTATTTATTTTTGGCTGTGTTCGGTCTTCGATTCTGTGCGAGGGCTTTCTCTGGTTGCAGCAAGCGGGGGCCACTCTTCATCGCGATGCGCGGGCCTCTCACTATCGCGGCCTCTCTTGTTGCGGAGCACAGGCTCCAGACGTGCAGGCTCAGTAGTTGTGGCTGACGGGCCTAGTTGCTCCGCGGCACGTGGGATCTTCCCAGACCAGGGCTCGAACCCGTGTCCCCTGCATTGGCAGGCAGATTCTCAACCACTGCGCCACCAAGGAAGCCCATGAAACTGCTTTCTACGTTTAAAATTTGGTACTTCCATTGTCTGTTGACTTAACCCATCCATGTTAGGTGTTATTTTAACACCCTCTTTAGTCTCACCGTTTCACCTTCAGACCCTCCCCAACTCCCCAGCCTGCCAATGTTCCTATGTGAAATTTGGGTTAGACTGGTATTGTTTCCTTTTTTTGTAATTACTTTGTGGACATCTTGTTCAGGCCTGACCATGTGGTATATACAGTTAGTTATTGCTTTTCCTGCACTAGTTTTCTCTGGAGTTAATAATTGCCATTTTGTTGTTGTTGCTTAGTCTATGTACTTACTACTGATTTGATCTGGAACTTTCAAAATTGTCTAAATCATCTCCCAAGATATTTAGATTCATTAGATAATCTTTCACTTTTTGAAGTCCATCTTTGCCGTCTGACCTGCTCCAATTTGTCTTGGTTTTACCACTTTGAAACCTAAGATTTTCCATCATCACCACCACTCTAGATGTTCCTTTTACCTCCATTTTCTCTTGGATTCCCTGTTCCTTGGGTCCCATGATGTCTTCTTTCTTGGTGTGTTTCACCAAAATGAGAATAAATCCTCAAGTAACTTCTTGAGGAAAGATGCATTTTTTTAGAAACATTTTTTTTTTTGAGACCTTGACTGTCTAAACATAGTGAAATATTGACCCTCAGGCATGATTACTAATTTGGTATAGAATTCTGTGTTCTGTAATAGTAATTCTGCATTCTATAATAATAATTTTCTATCTGAATTTTAAAGATATTCCTCCATTATTTTCTAAGTTTCCAGTGTTTTTATTAAAAAGTCTCTTGTCGGTAATTTTTCCTCATTTATATAAAATTTGTCTCTGGAAGTTGATAGAATCGTCTCTTTGTTTCTGATATTTTCTGATATTTCACAGTGATATACTGTACCTTGGTATGAGTCTGTTTTCATCCATTCTGCTGGGCCTTCTGGAACTCTTTTTTTTTTTTTGGCTGCGTTGGGTCTTTGTTGCCTCACGGGTGCTACTCTTTGTTGCGGAGCACAGGCCCTAGAGCATGCAGGCTTCAGTAGTTGCGGCATATGGGCTCAATAGTTGTGGCTTGAGGGCTCTAGAGCGCAGGCTCAGTAGTTGTGGCACCCCGGCTTAGTTGCTCCGCGGCATGTGGGATCTTCCGAGGCCAGGGATCGCACCTGTGTACCCTGCGTTGGCAGGCGGATTCTCAACCACTGCGTCACCAGGGAAGTCACTTCTGGAACTTTTTAAATTTGGGGGGGACAGTTTTCTCCATTTTATTTTTTTGGAATCATCATTATTTATGTGTTGAATCTTATGTTAGACCTTATGGACTGGTTTTATTTTCCTGTACTTTTTTTTTTTGATAAACTTTAAAAAATTTTTTATTTATTTATGTATGTATGAAGTATGTATGTAAGTATGTATTTATTTAGATGTGCCGGGTCTTAGCTACAGCACATGGGATCTTAGTCTCCGGGTGTGGGATCTTTTAGTTGTGGCACGTGGAATCTTTCAGTTGCAGCATGCGGAGTCTTTAGTTGCGGCATGTGTGATTTAGTTCCCTGACCAGGGATCGAACCCAGGCCCCCTCCATTGGGAATGGGGAGTCTTAGCCACTGGACCACCAGGGAAGTCCCTTCCTCTATTTTTATTCTCTATTTTCTAACCCTTTGATTTCTTTTTCACTTTATGGGAATATTTCAGTATTTTACCATCCAACTCGTCTGTTGAGTTTTTTTTGTCTTTACATATTTTTCCCAGAGTTTTATGGCTTTTATTAACACAAGTGCAGTGTGTACACGAGCTGTCTGTTCATTTCCTTTGCTGTGCAGCCTGGCATTGGGATTGGTGACTCAGATGGCCAGGTGGGCGGCTCTTTCCACAGTGACTTTGGGGTTCTTGGAGGAGATATTGGGAGTAGTCTCAGCACCGTAGGATTTGTTGCCCATCAGCAGCACTTCAAGCTCTTTGACCTAGTGGACCAGGAACTTCCAGAAGCCACTGGGCAGCATGTGCTTTGTTTTCTTGTATCAGTGTTGAATCTGGCCCTTGGATGTTTTTAATTTTGAATAACTTTTTTGTTTTTTCACAAATTTTAAATAGCATCATGTTCTTGTTTCATGTGTGCAATATCTTATTGCTCTGTGGATATTATTAATGCTTTAAGGCCTCTTCCCTTCTCAGCTGGCCCACACTCTGTGGAGCGTGTTTCTCCCATGACTGCTCTCACTTTCCGAGACGACGCCATGCCCTGGGACCGCTCTTGCCTTTAGAGACGGTCCGCATTCTTCCTTTGGAATGTGTATCTCTCTAAATAAATCCACTTCTTACCTATCAAATAATAATAATAATAATAATGCTTTAAATTTTTTTACTTTTAACTTATGCATGGTAAAATTCATTCTTCATTATACTGTTCTATGAATTTTTGACAAATGCTTAGAGTTATGTAACTGCCGCTAAAATTAACAGTTCCAAGGCCACCTTTACCCTCCCCTCCCCCCCAATTAGATCATATTGTCTGTGTATAGAAACAGTTTTATTTCCTCTTTCCCAATAGGCATACCTTTTATTTCTTTTGCTTGCCTTATTGTACTTAGTATAGACTTCCAATGTAATATTGAATAGGACTGGTGAGAGTGGATATCCTTTCCTTGTTCCCAGTCTTAAGGAGAAAGCATCACTGTTTCACCATTTGGTATAATGTTAGCTATAGGTTTTTCATAGATGCCTTTTGTGTGTGTTTTAAGCACTTTACATTGTCTAACTCATTACTAACTCAATCACATAACATTATCAAGTATGTGCTATTGTGCTCTCCATTTCACACATGAAGAAACTGAAGAACCCAAAGCCACTCAGCTAGATAGTAGCTGGGCTGGGATTTGAATCCTGGCAGTCTGCATATACTGCCCCTAATGTGTTTTATTAGGTTAAAGAAATTCCCTCTATTTTTAATCCGCTGAGAGGTGAATTTTGTCAAATGCTTTTTCTCCATCTGTTGATTGTGTGGATTTTCTTCTTTTATCTGTTAATGTGATGAATTACAGTGATTGATTTAAAATTTTTGAACAGCCTTTTATTTCTGGAATAAAACTTACTTGGTCCTGATGTATTATTCTTCTTCTACATTACTGAATTTTGTTGAGGAGTTTTGCATCTGTTTATGAGGGATGTTGGTCTGTAGTTTTCTTGTAATTTCCTTGCCTGGCTTTGGTATCAAATAATGCTAGCCTGATAGAATGAGGAAACAATCTGTTTCCGCTAAGGTGATTTTTATTCACCCTGTACATTTGTATTGGGCATTATTATGTTAGACACTTTCTCAGATTTTTTTGGTGATTCTTAGTTGTCTGACTCATATTTAAATTAAGCATGGGGGACTGAAAAGGTGATGGAAGCTCTGAGTCTTTGGAGTTTCAGTTAAAAAAAGATTTGTTCATTTTGTGCTTTTTTTGTCTATAGGGTTGTTACTCTGTTTCTTACTCTTAGAGTAACTGCATGATTTTTGTGGTTGTTTGTGTAATTTAAAATTTGCTTTTTTCTTATCAGTGAGATTGAGCATCGTTTTTCATGTTTAAGATCCAGAGCCATATGCATCTCTTTGTCTGAACTGTTTACAACATTCACCCATTTTTATGAAGAAAAATAGCTATATATTATTACAAAAGCAGTGCATGAACTTTGTAGAAAATTAGAAAATGCAGGCAATTAAACATAAAAAATCAGAATCATTCCATTCCTACCACCCAGAGATTATCAGTATTGGTCCCTTAGTGAAACCCACTCTGATCTTTTTTCTATACCCGAGTGTAGTTATTTGTATTTTTCCCCAACCAGAAATCATAGTTTTTTCATGTTACTTTGTAACCTGCTCTTTTCAGTGAACATTCTGTCCCTGTCCATTTCAGTAAACTTTCAGCTCATCTAATATACAAACCATATTCAAGTTTTCCTTGTTGACTCAAAAATGGCTTTAGCTTTTTTGTTTAAATCACCGTTGAGTTCAGGACTACATGTATCATCCAGTTGTTCTATCCCTTAAATCTGTTTAAATCTAGCACACTCCTGTTTCTGTGACTTAGATTGGCTTAGGAGATCAGGCTGTATTCCTGCAGAAAGTCTCACCTTCTGATTTTGTCTGGTTGCTCCCTCATGGTATTAGGTTGTTCCTTCGTCCCTTGAATTTTCATTAAATTGGAAGTTAGATCTAAATGCTTGGTGGATTCAAATGAAATAATTTTAGCTAAAATAAATTATAGATGACTTGAGTGTTTCATAATGCATAACATCAGAAAACACAAAATACGTGGTTAATTCCCGTGGTTGTGACTTCTGGATCAGAATGATGAGAGTTTGGTCCTTCTATTGTGTAATTATTTTTTCTCTTAGAATTGGAAAGTATTCTGTGTGGCAGTATACTTAATCATTAAAACTTAAATTGTTTTTTAACATTACTTGATAATCCTTGCCTAAATTACTACTATCATTAGAGTGTGAGAGCGATGGTTTTCTAATTTTGTGGTTCTTCTACTTTTATTGGTTGATGTTCTTCTGAAAGTGTAGCTCTTCCTCATCAGTGGGGCAGGATAAATGTTTAATTCATTTCCCTTAATTTCCAATTTTCAAAATAGGGAGTATTCTTAATAGTAACCTAAAATGGTGCAAATAGTTTTTTAAATTAATTAATTAATTTATTTTTGACTGTGTTGGGTCTTCGTTGCTGCGCATGGGCTTTCTCTAGTTGCGTCCAGCGGGGGCTATTCTTCACTGACGTGTGCAGGCTTCTCATTGTGGTGGCTTCTCTTGTTGAGGAGCACGGGCTCCAGGCGCACAGGCTTCAGTAGTTGTGGCACGTGGGCTCAGTAGTTGTGGCTCGCGGGCTGTAGAGCGCAGGCTCAGTAGTTGTGGTGCACGGGCTTAGTTGCTCCGCGGCATGTGGGATCTTCCTGGTCCAGGGCTCGAACCCGTGTTCCCTGCATTGGCAGGCGGATTCTTAACCACTGCACCACCAGGGAAGCCCTGGTACAAATAATTTTTTCTGTCTTTTAAAAAAATATATCATAAAGGTGTCACAGTTTTTTATCGATTCAGTGTGTTTCAGTCTAACAGTTACTCGTTTTAATGGTCAGGTCATCACTTTTGGCCACTGAAAGTTCTTTCAAGCTGGATCTTATATCCTTTTAACGTGACCCATTATTCTTAAATAACTACCTTGCTTTCTGGCACAGCAAAATGTCCCCATTTCACCTTGTGTTTTCCTTCCCTCAGACCTGAAATTAGCTGGCCTTTTCAGGGAGCCATTTTTGTTTTGAGTCATATCAAAGAATACAATCTGAACTTTAAAGAAATGCTCGTTGCTACTAGAGTGGCATTGCTTCTATGCCATTTAAGTGAACAGAGCTAGAAAATATTTATCTTAAAAAGAGTTAAGAGTTCTGAATTTTAAGTTCAGTTTTAACATTTGTTTTCACTTAATTTCTTAATTTCTTTGGTTTTATAATTGTGTGTCATTTTCTACTCAGAAGTTCTGGATTCCTAACAAGATTAGTATAACTACTTAACTTTCTTTTACCTGTAATAAAAGGAACAGTTTCAAAATACCAACACCAATGTTACTACTAGGAATAGAACTTTTTTGGTCTTTAGAATGCATCTTGCTAAGGATGAACAGTCAAAATACTGTTTCTAAAGTTCTTGGAGGGGCTTCCCTGGTGGCGCAGTGGTTGAGAATCCGCCTGCCAATGCAGGGGACACGGGTTCGATCCCTGGTCTGGGAAGATCCCACATGCCACAGAGCAACTAAGCCCATGTGCCACAACTACTGAGCCTGTGCTCTAGAGCCTGTGAGCCACAACTACTGAGCCTGCAAGCTGCAACTACTGAAGCCTGCGTGGCTAGAGCCCGTGCTCTGCAACAAGAGAAGCCACCGCGATGAGAAGCCTGAGCACCGCAACGAAGCATAGCCCCCGCTCACTGCAACTTAGAGAAAGCCTACACATAGCAACGAAGACCCAACACAGCCTAAAATAAATAAATAAAATAAATAAATTCATTAAAAATAAATAAATAAATAAAGTCCTTGGAGTAAATCCTTTCTTTGTGGCTTGTGTTATCAGTTTGGTTATGTTTGTTTATTTAAACTTTGCTCAGTTTAAGGGATTTTTAGAATTCTGCGGAGCAATAAACACTGAGAACTCTTGCTTCTGCTGCCCCTGCTTACCCCACTGTCTTCTGCCTTGACCCTTACAGGTAGCGATTTTCATTAGTTTTCATGGTGTGTGGAGCAAAGCAGAAATTGCAAGCATTAAATATAAGTGGGGTGCGTTAAGGAGGGAAATATGGACTGCCCTGGAGGCCTAGAATAGGGGAACTTAACCTGGTCTTCAGGAATAGGGAAGACGTCCCTCAGGAAATGATATTTTAGTCTGGAAAGTACTACATTTTTTTCTTAATGAAAATGTCTCATCTTCATGTGAAAACCTTTATTCCCGTCTGTCTGACCAACCCTGTTATGTGATTTCAGGTGGAGAGTATAGTGAAGATGATGTAAATGAATTAGTGAAGGAAGATGAAGTGGATGGTGAAGAGCAGACACAGAAAACCAAAGAGAGAAAAAGAAAGTCTCAGAGCATTCCGGCCAGGTGATGCTGCCCTCAAGGCCCTTAGAAGTCAGGGGCTGTTGTCATAACCTTCCAGATTGCTGGGATTGGTCTCATGATAGATTTCTTACTGCCATGGTTTCTAACCTTTTTCTCATTGAGGGAAATATTTGGTGACATTTTAGGATTACATTTTTATTCTCTGGCAAGCTTTAAAATTTTTTGAGCTTTAATTTTAAAAAGTTAATAGGTAATATGTGCACCTGGTTTAAAATTGAAAACCCGGGAATTCCCTGGCAGTCCAGGGGTTAGAACTCTGCCTTTCCAATGCCAGGGCCTGGGTTCAATCCCTGGTCAGGGAACTAAGATACCACAAGCTGTGTGGTTCGGCCAAAAGAAAAAAGCAATTGCTACAAAAAATATGTACCCCATCTCTAGCCCTTGTTGCTTTGTCTCAGAAGAATTATGTTACCAGAGATAATTCTGTGTATGTACGATCATGTATATATGTATTTCCTACTTTTTCTTTTTTTGGCCATGAGGCTCGCGGGATCTTACTTCCCTGACCAGGGATCGAACCCACGCCCCCTGCAGTGGAAGCATGGGAAGTCCTAACAACTGGACTGCCAGGGAATTCCCTACTCTTAAAAAAAAAAAAAAAATGAATAGTAGCATACTCTGCATATCATTTCTCACTTTCCTTATTTCACATCTTGGAGATGATACTATGGCAGTATATTTAGCTATACCTTTTTCTTTTCAGCATAGTGTTACATTACTGGACAGACCTTACTTTATTTAAACATTCCTTTATTGAGAGACCTTTAGATTGTCCTCATCTTTACTACATCAAATAAGACTGCAGTGAATATTCTTCTTATGTGTCTTTGTACACATGTATATTTGTAAATTAAATCTGTAGGAGTAGAATTGTTTGACCCAGTGTTATATGTAGTTAAAAAAAAAAATTTATAGGTATAGACAAATTACCTTCTATAAGCCTGGTACTGAATTGCACTCCCACCAAAAATTATGAAAATTCTGACAAGTTATTTAACTCAAAAAGGGAGTCTTTCAATACAAGTCTTTAATTCTCTTTGATTGGTGTTTCTGTCTTCCTGGACATTGAAGCAAAAATCAGATTGTAGAAAGAGAATTTTGAGAATTAGGTGATTCACTTGAAGTCAGAATAGTCTTAAGAAGCAGTTTACTCTTTTAAGTCTTGGACCCAGTTCTTTTATCCTTGGCTTTTGTATATTCCAGCTTTTATATCTTCAGAAGGTGGGAAGAAACATGGATTCCCCACTCCCCACCCCCTAAGAACTCTGGGAAGAAACAGTGCAAATAAATCTGAGGCTCTCTTCAATCTCTGTTCCCCACATGGAGTGACTTTTAAAAAGTCAAAAATACCAGGAATATGTATGTTATTAGAACCCTCTTTCTGAACAGATTGATTCTGTGAGGTGATTTTGGGTATTTTCTTGGTGAAAACAGCTGGTCCTAACTTAGAAGTAGAACACTGTATTTTGATTCTAAATGCTTTGGGAAAATCCTAACTGTGAGAGCTCAGTTCTTTTTTTCTTCCACAAAATCTCAGCTTACCTCTCCCACTTCCCCTATCAGGCGTGTTAACCAGTAGTCCCCAGATTTAAAAGTTTTCTGATATTTGCAACATTATGTTTGGAATTCAGGAAGGGATAACTGAAATTATTTTGCCTGTTTGTCTTGTCTTTCCTTTTCCTTGTGACTGTTGGTGATTAGGAAGAGAAAACAAGGTGGCCTCTCATTAGAAGAAGAGGATGAGGAGGATGCCAATGAGGAATCTGGAGGAAGTAGTAGTGAGGAGGAAGATGGAGCTGCAGAGCCAGAAAAAGGCATTGAGTCAGAGGATGCAAAGAAAAAGAAGGAAGATGAACTATGGGCCAGCTTCCTCAATGACGTAGGACCAAAATCAAAAGTGCCTCTGCGTACACAAGTTAAAGTAAGTTAATAGATGAATGGGATGAATGCTTTGCCAGAAATGCCGGAAGTTCCCCAGATAGATTTTTTAAATTTGGAAACTGAGATTTGAGGCTTACAACAGAAATCAGACTAGATGCCTTTTAATAGTAACTCTACTAAGTGAAAAGCAAAGCATTCCCTATGGTAGGAAACACAAGCCTTTCTAATTAAATAAAATTTCAATAAGCATTTAACTGTTTAGAGATGAAATATTTAAGGATAGCTGGAAACAACATGTTTGGATGGATCTTTTAGTTTTCATCCTTATATGAAACTGATTACACTTCTTTTTTCATAGAGAAGAGAGGAGGCTGAAGAGACAAGTTCAAGTAAATTGTTGGTCAAAGCACAAGAGCTAGAGAAACCTAAAGAAACAGAAAAAGTTAAAATTACCAAGGTGTTTGATTTTGCTGGTGAAGAAGTCAGGTAAGATGACATTCACAAACTTCAAAACTAGTACTTTTAAAAAGGAGCATCTTTCTAAATGGTGTTAGACATCTGTCTTCATTCCACCCCATCTTAATATTGTGGAAGATTTATATTTGAACTCAAGGAAAATAGTGGTTCCATTGATTATCAGGGAATATGAGAAAGGTCCTGTTACATATGGTAATGTAGTTGGGGGCACTATGAAGTGGTTGGCTGAACAGAAACAAGAAAATGTAAGAGTTAAGTATTTGGTTTCACTTACTCATGCCTTGCTTTGTGACTGGCTATTTCTCCCTTTATTACTTCCCTTTACTTTGATGTATAAGCCCCAGTGAAACCTTTGAAATCAGGTGAGAATTGAAAGTACCTGGAGAGAAATTTGATTCTGATATTATTTCCTCATCTTAATATTATTTTTTTAATTGATTCATAGGTTTGTTACTAGTTTAGAAAAACATTATAGGCTTAATACTCTTGGCCGTTCTAGATGAGAGCCACATGACCGGAATTTCTTTTTCCCCATTTATTTAAAATTTTAATATGAAAACAGCAGATCTATAATTTAGAGCTGGACAAGAACAGATGAAGTGCCTGCCAATCAGTTTTATAGATGGCCACATTTATTTTCCTTGACAGTAATTAATTAGACTTGTTTACTCTCTGTAAATATAATTTCCCCTAAAGTTGATACTCTTAAAAATAATTTCCAGTTTCCAACAATTATTTCATCTAGTGAAAATATATCTAAGAAAAAAGTTTGGCATTATTTGTTTGTTTGTTTTTAACATTTATTTATTTATTATTATTATTTTTTACATCTTTATTGGAGTATAATTGCTTTACAATGGTGTGTTAGTTTCTGCTTTATAACAAAGTGAATCAGTTATACATATACATATGTTCCCATATCTCTTCCCTCTTGCGTCTCCATCCCTCCCACCCTCCCTATCCCACCCCTCCAGGCGGTCACAAAGCACCAAGCTGATCTCCCTGTGCTATTTATTTATTTATTTGGCTGTGCTGGGTTTTAGTTGCGGCATGCGGAATCTTCATTGCAGCGTGTGGGATCTTTGGTTGTAGTGTGTGGGAACTTCAGTTGCGGCATGTGGGATCTAGTTCCCTGTCCAGGGATCGAACCTGGGCCCCCTGCACTGGGAGCACGGAGTCTTAACTGCTGGATCACCAGGGAAGTCCCGGCATTATTAGTTTTATAAATGATGTGAAGCAGACTTTTTATTATTGTTATTATTTGTTGTTGTTGGTGGTGGCTTTTTTTATTTTTATTTTTTTATTGGAGTAGAGTTGATTTACAGTGTTGTGTTACTTTCTGCTCTACAGCACAGTGAATCGGTTATAGATACACATATTTCCACTCCTTTAGTCTTTTAGTATTACTTTTTAATCTCCCCCAATTTTTTTTTTCTGAAAAATTTTACACTTATAAAAATGTTGTGGGCTTCCCTGGTGGCGCAGTGGTTGAGAGTCTGCCTGCTCATGCAGGGGACGTGGGTTTGTGCGCCGGTCTGGGAGGATCCCGCATGCCGCGGAGCGGCTGGACCCGTGGGCCATGGCTGCTGGGCCTGCGCGTCCGGAGCCTGTGCTCCGCAATGGGAGAGGCCGCAGCAGTGAGAGGCCCGCGTACCGCAAAAAAAAAAAAAAAAAAAAAAAAAAAAATTGTTGCAAGAATACGGCTTTCCTGGTGGCGCAGTGGTTGAGAGTCTGCCTGCTGATGCAGGGGACACGGGTTCATGCCCCAGTCCGGGAGGATCCCACGTGCCGCGGAGCGGCTGGGCCCGTGAGCCATGGCCGCTGGGCCTGCGCGTCCGGAGCCTGTGCTCCACAACAGGAGAGGCCACAGCAGTAAGAGCCCCGCGTACCGCCAAAAAAAAAAAAAAAATGTTGCAAGAATAGTATTACACTGAACACCCATATACCTATCATACTGATTCACCACTTGTAAATGTTTTGCCCCTCTCTCCACCATCTGTTTCCATATTTCTCTCTTTTTGTTTTGGCTGAACCATTTGAGAATTGTAGACATCATAACACTTCACTCTTTTTTTTTTTTTTTTTTTTTTTGGGTTCGCGGGCCTCTCACTGCTGTGGCCTCTCTCGCTGCGGAGCACAGGCTTCAGACGTGCAGGCCCAGCGGCCGTGGCCCACGGGCCCAGCCGCTCCGCGGTATGCGGGATCCTCCCGGACCGGGACACGAACCCGTGTCCACTGCTTCGGCAGGCGGACTCTCAACCACTGCGCCACCAGGGAAGCCTGACACTTCACTCTTAAATACTTCATAACTGTTTCCTAAGAACAAGGATCTTCTCCTTTGTGACACATTATAACTCTCATATTCGGTAGATTACGCATTAATGCAGATTGTTATCTAAATTCTCTGTAGTGAAGGACCCTGATTTTAAATTTTCAACCTGTTGCGGACCAATACTTTTGTAAAACACAATAAATAGGAATTATTAGAAAAGTAAATTAAGAAGAGATACAAAATACAAACGCAAACTTAAAAAAATATTTATTTAGGCTGTGGCGGCTCATGGGATCTTTGTTGTGGCATGCTGACTCTTAGTTGTGGCATACGGACTTCTTAGTTGGCAGTATGCATGTGGGATCTAGTTCCCTGACCAGGGATTGAACCCAGGACCCCTGCATTGGGAGTGTGAAGTCTTACCCACTGGACCACCAGGGAGGTCCCCAAGCTCAAATTTTTAACAATAAGATTTAACAGACAGACGTAAAATTACATTTCAATAAATACAGTCAAAATGAGCACAAAATAAGAAAAGGAAAAGAATTACATAACTATCCTTTTTTGGGGAGGGGGCAGCAGGCACACCCTGCGACTTGCAGGATCTTAATTCCCCAACCAGGGATTGAACCTGAGCCCCGGCACTGAAAGTGCCAAGTCCTAACCACTGGACCGCCAGGGAATTCCCTATAACTATACATGTTGATCATTGAAAGTGTGAGTGTAAGTGATTAATAAAAGGAATCACCTTTTAATTCTATAGTTGAAGCAAAAAACTAGAAGTATCAATTCCCAGTACTTAACATCTAGACACATAGTTTGAATAAGTGCTGTTTATATTAATTTTTAAAGTTTTTAATGGGTCAAAATAGCTTATATCTTTCTTGTTAATTAATCTAAGTGGGATTGGTGACAGCCCTACTCCTGGAGGATGATGTATATGTAAATTATTTCTGTGTTGGTGCTCTTCCTCTTCTTTTTAATTTTTTAAAAAATAATACTCATCATAAACCCATCTCAAAGGGCTGTTTTTGTACCTCTTTTATTTATTTATTTATTTAAATTTATTTGTTTATTTATTTATTGGCTGCATTGGGTCTTTGTTGCTGTGTGTGGGCTTCCTCTACTTGCAGCAAGTGGGGGCTAGTCTTCGTTGCAGCGCGCGGGCTTCTCATTGCGGTGGCTTCTCTTGTTGCGGAGCACGAGCTCTAGGCATGCGGGCTTCAGTAGCTGTGGCATGTGGTCTCAATAGTGGGCTCATGAACTCTAGAGCACAGGCTCAGTAGTTGTGGCACACGGGCTTAGCTGCTCTGTGGCATGTGGGATCTTCACAGACCTGGGCTCGAACCCATGTCCCCTCCATTGGCAGGCAGATTCTTAACCACTGCACCACCAGGGAAGCCCTGTACCTCTTTTTAATTTATTTTTCTAATAAATTCTTTCTATTGTGTTTTACAAAAGTATTGGTCTGCACCAGGTTGAAGTTTTTAAATCATGGTCCTTCACTACAGATAATTTAGACAATGATCTGCAATAATGTGAAAGTAATGAGGATGGAAGTGTGGATTTTAAAGCAGTTTCATTAAGTTCAGGATTTTCATTTTTACTTTTTCCAAACGAAGCCAGTACTAACTACATTTTCTTTTTTTTTCCTTCCAGTTTTATTGAGAAATAATTGACATACAGCACTGTGTAAGTTTAAGGTGTACAGCAAAATGATTTGACCTAGGTACCTCATGAAATGATTAGTAGTAACTGTATTTTCAGAGTTCATCTTCAGTGCTTCATAAGTAGTCAGTTCCAGTAATTTATCCTGTCAAGTTATAATTAAATTTAAGTTATATTGGGCTTCCCTGGTGGCGCAGTGGTTGAGAGTCTGCCTGCCGATGCAGGGGACGCGGGTTCGTGCCCCAGTCCGGGAAGATCCCACATGCCGCGGAGCGGCTGGGCCCATGAGCCATGGCCGCTGAGCCTGTGCGTCCGGAGCCTGTGCGTCCGGAGCCTGTGCTCTGCAACGGGAGAGGCCACAACAGTAAGAGGCCCGCGTACTGCAAAAAAAAAAAAAAAAAAATTTAAGTTATATTTCAGTGGGAAAAAGGAATTCTGGATGCATGAATTTCCTATGTGTGGATTTTTTTTTATGGAAAATATAATTCAGAACATTCTGTGAAACATGTTAACCTATAGGAACTGTTCTTCAGGCTTTTAACTTGCATTTTTACTCTTAGAGTTTATTTGTTTCTGAAAAATATGTTGAATTACTTCCTTGTGTGAAAGTACTAAGATTTTTAAAAACACCAAACTGGGAATTCCCTGGCAGTCCAGTGGTTAGGACTCCACAGTTTCACTGCTGGGCCTGGGTTCAATTCCTGGTTGAGGAATTAAGATCCCGCAAGCTGCTCAGCATGGACAAAAAAAATACCAAACAAAGCAGGCAAATAAGCATGTCTTACTTGTCCAATTGAGATCTTTAAAATTGGGGACCATATGGTTATTGTTTTTCTTTTAGAAGTACTAAGTTTATTCTGTAGTTCATCATTCTCAAGGCACTTTCTTCTTCATAACCATTGTACTTCAGCATGCATTATAACATATGCATATTTATGATCAACTTTCAGTTTATCAAAAATAGTCATTTAAATTTAATGCATTAGCTTTACATAATGCACAGTTTTTACTACTGTACTAAGAACAGTGGGGTTTTTTTTATGTAGTAAGAATTTTCTCAATGAAGGAA